TAGATAGATAGATAGATAGATAGATAGATAGATAGATAGATAGATAGATAGACAAAACAGAAAAAGAGGCACTAAAGAGTTCCTGTTTGAAAGACAGTTTAAAACCATCAAGTTCCACAGTTAAAGCATGAGTGGGGCCACCCCTCCCAGTGCTTACCCAGGCCTGGTATGTACTTTACCAGTTCACATTAGAAGGCACATGTCGGTTCCTACTCATTCTGGTTGTGGGCAAAGTGCACCAGGGCCTACCAGAGAATCCAGCCACACACACATAGAGTGGGCCGAGCTGCCACACTGGTACCGTTGTAACAAATACTTTATGGGGCCTCTTCTCAGTGACAGCCACTGTTATACATATTAACAAAAAGATGGACGAGGGCTAGGAGCATAGCTCAGGGGCAAGGCACTTGCTTAGGGTTCATAAGGCTCTGGGTTCAAGCCCAAGCTATGAAAATAAAGAAAAAATAAAATAAAAAAGGTAAACAAGACAGCGAGGCATGATGGAGCACGCCTTTAATCCCTCCAGCCCTCAGGAGACATAGAAAGGCAGATCTTGTGTGTTCAAGGCTAGCTTGGTCTACAAAGAGAGCTGGGACAGAGAAACCCTGTCTTGAAAACCCAAAAGAGAGAAAGGAAGAAAATAAATAAATAAACAAACAAGACAATGAAAATTTCTGCTCTAGAAAATTGTAGCTTCTGCTATCCTAAAATTCACCCAGTGCTGCAAAATATTCAGTGTTAAATCTAAGAAGATGGAAAAACAAGAATCATGAAAAAAAATTAGAATTGTGTGAGCTCATACCATATCCCATTTTTAAGAGTTTCATCAGCATAAACAGACATCACGCAAGTCAAATAAAAGTGTATCTATCTGTAGGCTAAATTAGGTCTAAAACCCAGTCTCTTTAAGTCTCTGACCTACAGGGTTTTGCTTTGTTTTGTTTTACTTTTAGTTTATTCTAAAGAGACTGGCCTCCTCAGAGGACTTCCGCTCAGCAAAGGACTTTTGCAGCAGGTCCTGTCAGTTAGGGTGAACTGCAGTCTGTAAGGATCTATACCGCCAAGGACAGAACAATTGGGCTAAACCTAACCATCACTGCTGTCACATGCCACCCAAGCTTTGCTGGAAGCACCAGCCACCTCAGACACTGACAGTGAGAACTTACCTCCATGGTATGGGTTTTTCCTGATGAAGTCTGCCCGTATGCAAAAATTGTCCCATTATAACCCTCAAGGACATCTGCAGGCATAAAATAGATTAAAATTACTTCATTACTTTGATCCTACACTGGTCATATGAGTTAAAGTTACAGTTTCCAAATGGCCAATTCATTCTTCTTACACACATGAAATGTGCCAACTTTAAGTATGATTGTGAAATAAGAACAGAAATGAGAGTCCGCTGTCCCACAAATAAAAGAGGACTCGCATTCCTGCAGACTCATGACTGAAGGGGAAGAGCCATTTTTAGCTACTTAAAGCTTTCGTGTATATGTTGGTCTCTTGAGATCATTGGGGAGGGAAAGCAAGCAGGCTTTCAGTTTCTGGAGATTAGAGTAGAATGCCTTGCCTAAAGGTTTGGTCTTGGTCAGGTTGATCTGGATCCTTCAGGCTATTTCCCAAGTAGGCCTCACCAGAGTCCCGTCAGAGCAGACTAGAACTAGGGAAGGGAAGGCACCACATTGCAACTGAGCTCCTCAGACAATGCAATCACCATGGAAACCGGCAGGCCTGACATAAATTTAATGCCTCTGGTTTTTCTGACTGCCTTGCTAGCAAGACGGCCTGGGCCCATCAGCCTCAGGAATTCCTCTTAATTACACAATGAGCACACTGTGAAAGCCCACAAGCATGGCAGGCTGGCTTCCATTTCACACAGCGATGCAGAGAGGCATGGAGGTGGGGGCTGCTTCATGTTTCGGAGCAGAAGACTGTTGGTGGGAATTCTTTGAAAGCAGCAGAGGTGATTAAAGCATATTCCCTCCTGCCTTCCCCTCATCTATTCATCCATCACAGAAAGGAAAATGATACATAATTAATATCCTTGACCCACCGTTTGGCACCAAGGGAAGGGATTTTCAGTGCAGTTGATAGTGAGGGCAAGGAGAGGTGACCTGTACAGAGGATGCTTTCTGGGGACCTGTGAGAAAGTCAGCTCCACCTATTTCAGATTGGGAAGGCCCCCTCTCTGAAACTTATTATGATAGCTTTGTGTAGTTGTCGTTCGTTTATTTTGGTAGGTTTTCAAAAAGAGAGAAAGAAAAAAGAAAGAAAGAAAGAAAGGAAGGAAGGAAGGAAGGAAGGAAGGAAGGAAGGAAGGAAGGAAGGAAGGAAGGAAGAGAAAGAAAGGAAGGGAGGAAGGAGGAAAGAAAGGAAGGAAGGGAGGAAGGAAGGAAGGAAAGAAAGAAAGAAAGAAGGAAGGAAAGAAGGAAGGAAGGAAGGAAAGAAAGAAAGAAAGAAAGAAAGAAAGAAAGAAAGAAAGAAAGAAAATATATTTTACTAATATGAGATTGTAGAAGTATGACTTGGAATCAGAAAAGAACAGAATTTCTTTCAGGAAGCTAAAAACAGGAAACAAGGAAAAAGTAAGATCAAAAGAAAAAAAAAATCCTAACAGCCCTTAAGAGTTTGTATCAAGTTGTGGGTGGGGAATTCTCATATATATCAGTCTTCTAGAAATGTTTTTTGGAAGTGGTTTTCCTGGTAACAGCAGGAAGGGGAAAAAAAAAACCTGAAGAAGTCAGTGTTAGGGTTAGAGGTTTAGGCTTCAGTCCCATGAAAATGTCAACTCTCAGAGAAAAGTTCCTCCCGGGCTGAAGATGATGCCAGGGCGGTATGCCGCCATTCTACCACAAACATGTACTTTGACAGAACCCCAAAAAGAAAGAAAGAAAGAGACTCCATCTTTCGATTGTGCTTTTAACGTTCTAGAACACTCATAACACAAACAACTGCAGGCAACTGGAATGCTGAGCGAGCACTGTCGCAACAGAAAGTTTTCTATTTATTAGACAATAAAACGTCCCTCCTCAGCCAGGCTGTGGTGGCGCATGCCTTTGGCCCCAGCACTGGGATGCAGTGACCTCTCTGAGGTCAACGCCAGCCTAGTTTACAAATCGAGCCCAGGATAGCCAGGGCTACACAGAGAAACCCTGTCTCAGAAAAAAAAAAAAAATCTCTCCTCAAAGGGAAGGGCCTTTCTTGCTTTACACTCACACATATGTGGAACTCTGGGTTCACTAGCCTGGGGTCAGCATCCATCCAGCTCCTGGCCAGCTCCTTTTTTCTCACGTGTGGCAACCTGTTCTCTGTGGCGGCTCTGAACAACCCATCACTCCCTCAGGGAAACTGACCTCAAAGCCTAAATCCAGCCCATACTCCTTTCTCCACGAGAGAGAAAGAAGCTGCTTCTCTAAGAGGCCTCTGGGCCACTCTCACCAAGCACAATACACAGTCCTACCAATTAGGGAGCTTCTATTCCCTGTTCTCCTGTGTTTACAGCCTGGGTCACAGCATCAAGTCTTGGCTGGTAGAGTACTCCTCCAGTGAACACAAAGCACTGGCTACAGCCCTCAGCACCCCATAAATGAGGAGTGATGCTACAAACCTGTAATCCCAGTTCTGATGAGATGGAAGCAGAGGTCAGAGCAGCAAGGGCATCCTTAGCTCCATGAGGGCTTGAGGATAGCCTGAGCTAAATGAATGCCCATTTGACATGCCTGAGTGGTACTGGCTCGTTTTGGGCTCAGGTACTGAGAGGCATAAAAGACCATACTCAGAGAAAATCCACTCTCTTTATTATGTCAACACTGAGTACAATTTCCTTTTTTTTTTTTTTTTTTTTTAATAGAGAACATATAAAACCCACAGAAGCAAACTCTGACTGGACTTTAAAGTACCTAGAATCATCTTACAATTAATACACTTTGGAGAACATCCTGGGTCAAAACTAAATGCAGCTGATGTTGCCCTCTATCGACTCAATCCTGCACTCGAAAACTATTTTAAAAGATAAGGCCCTGTTAACCTAGGGCTATCTATTTTCTCAGGCATGAGAGATGTGTTTGTTTATTCAGTCTGTGTTTTGTCTTGAGTGGAGGGCACAGGCAAGAGAAAGGCATGGCTGAATGGTGAAGTTCAGGGGCTGGAAGAGGAGCCAGCACAGAATTCGAGAGAATTAGAGCACTGGCTGGTGCTGGGCCCTGTGCAGAGGGACATGCTGCCTCCTGGGCCAGATTGCAGCTCCCAACCAAAAGGCCCACAAACAGACACGTTCATTGAAGTAAATGGCCGACAGTTCCTGGGCCTGAGAAACGTATTTGCTTTAGTCTCTGTCGAGCAGAATGACTATTTCCACATGCTGGCCATGCTCTTCCAGATAGAACCTTTCCTTGTGATGGTGTCTGGCATGATGTGATCTCAACTCACACCACAGAGCCACACACATCACAGACTGCTGTGTATCCGTCCAGCAGCCAGGCAAATCCAGAAGCTTCTACTACAGGTGACAAGTGCCATCTTCTTTCCCAAAGAGGAGGGGAGAGGACAGGGACTCAGAGACCCTGGCCAGCTCCAGCTGCAGATTTCAGAAGCTCAAGCATGCACCCTAGGTTCTGCTCATGTCTGAGTGCAGGAGTGGTGGGAGCAGGGCTGTGTCCTTTACTAAGAAAGAACCTGGGAACAGTTCATCACACCTACACATCAGCACTCTGAGAGTCTGCCTAGCCTCCTAAACCTCTCCAGGCGAGATGGAGGAGTTTCAGGGACACAAAGTTTTCTGCCAACCGCTAAAGGCTGCTCAGTTTGGGACCCTAAGACTCTTGCCAGCAAACCAAACAACTCAAGCTGTTTGTAGAATAAAGACCCACACTGCATGCACCGATGGCCACAAAAAGGCAGCCACTTCCTGGGCCCGAGAAACACATTTGCTTTAGTTAGTCTCTGCAGAGCAGAATGACTGTTCCCACACCCAGGCCATGCTCTGTCTGGAGGACCCCACTCCTAAGCAAAAGCACGCTGCATGTCAGAATGGAAACCACCCTACGACTGACCAGCAAAAAGATCTGGGACCACAGGGCTGTTCCTTCTCCTCTACTCTCCTCCCACACCCATTCCTATCCCTGTCATGTTGGACTGTTAGTCAATAGTCCATATGGCCTGTTTGAAAAAGAGCAACTCATAAAATAATTACTTGATGATTGTGTGTCTATGAATGCCCATTGTGGACCCATCAGAAAGGAAAGGCAAGATAATTCAGAGCATAGTCAGTCAGCAAATTGTGGGTCTCAAGTCCCAGACCCACTGTTCTTCTAGATTTGGCCAAAGTGCTTTGTTCTCTGAGCATCAAATTCCACTTTAATATGGTGGGAATAGTAATGTTTACACGTCATAAGCTGAAGATTTAAGATGCAACATCTACGGTGCTTAAGAGCAGGCATAAAACAGAGCATAGAGAATAATGAAATATCTGAGTATATCCTTCTAAGCTTGGAGCTTTTCTGCCTGCAGGATAACAGTCCAGCATGCCCACCAGAGGATCCAGACTGTAAACTCCTTTCCCACCGTGTACTCAACACCTTACACAGCCCTCTGCACTACCCCAGCAAGCCGCACCATTTGTGCTCTTGCAGGTCCTACTGCTACTACTGCTCCATTATTACCTGCAGTCCCCAGGGCCCAACCTTTCCAAGAAGCTTTCCCTAATTCTCCACTTCCTCTCCTCACCCACCAAAACTGGCACCAAGTGGCACTCCTCTGTGCTTTTGTGGTATTGTACACACACCCATCTTAATGCCTCTGTGTATGGGAATGGAATATGCAGCTGTCTCTTCTTCTATATTGAGAGCCCCTAGCAGACAGCTTTATATGCTTTGGTGACTCCAGTCTCTGGCAGTGCTTATCACATAATAAGCACTTTATATAACCTATATAAACAAATAACTGTAGCTTAAAGAAATCAAAACTGGAAAAGAAAAAAATCTTCTCTAGCATTTGGGCAGTTCACATTCAATTACTTTAGAAGGCAAAGGCCCAGAGTGACTTCTGCTGGATGACCTCAACAATAATATCCAGCAACCATGGAGTTTAATGCCTAGGTACCCACAGGAGCCTTATTTCCTGTGATTATAGCCACAAAACTTACAACCTTTTCACACAGAAATGGAGGAATCTACATGCTCTTTCGGCCAACATTTTGAAAAACACGGCAAAGATGTGGGAAATGCCAGGATTCTGCAATGGCAAATAGAGCCTCAGACTCCTTAAGGGTTTAAATAGACTAGGAAGCAAAGCACACTAGCCCATGACAGCATCATGAATCAGGGGACTATGATGATCTTCAGAATCATTTGATTCATATCCAAGTCTCTAGAAAAAAGAATGCTCATTGCCCCTTGTCCCAATCCTAACTTAGGTAGGACTCTTATAAAAGATAACCAAGCTATGTTCCATTATGTACTCCGAGATGGTCTCGCTTATATATGCACGCTTTGCCTTGATGATGCAGAAAGGAAAGTCATTTCCTCTCACAGTAGCCTTGGAGGTTACTTTTAAGGGCCCACAAAAAGGAGAGGTGAAGAGGTCTTAAGCAAAAGAGTGGCTACAAGAAAACATATAATATGAAGGGAAGAGGATACAGGGATTTAGAGTTTTAAACAGGGATAAAGATGGGAAATGAAGAGGGAGGAGGTGGGCAAGGTGAGCTATCCAAAACTAAAGTTGTGCAAAGAATCTTTGAAACTTCATTTCAAACTACAATTAAACACACACACACAAAGAGTTTGAACATAGATACCCTGCATGAATAGTAGACACGAGTTACCAAATGAAATCTCAGTACCAAGAATGAGATACCTCACTACAAGTTACTGGTCAGGAAGGCCCCAAAGCCCCCAACACAGTTCAGGTTTGCCATCGCTCTTGGTTGTGCCGCACAACTAGATAAGACCTGATTGCTGAAGACACCAACACATTGGTTGTACAACATAGAGAAATCAGTTGGGAGTGACTGGAAGCTTCCTCACTGCTGGCTAGCTTGATAGTACCACAAGGTGCTACACAGGCCACTGGCAGGATAAAAGACATCAACAGTATGCCTGCAGCCTCCTTGCTACAATACCAACCTGCCAGCTAAGACTCACCCTCTGGTTCAATAGTGGCATAAAGATTAAAAGAGTAACCAACTAGTTAAGGCTTGGATTTGAGGCCTATGTCATAGGAAGGAACTTAGGCCTGATACTATAAACCTGGCCTTTGTCCATAGTGAGGCACATACCATTGTTGTTTTGCCAAACAGTCATACTATCAAACTGGCTTGTAAATATTTATGCCTATACCCATAGCGCAACCCTCAATCTTGGCTTCTCTCTGCAGTAGCCAATAGCTAATGTAGAGACATGTTGCTGAGAAAAGTATTGAGAGTAAGTGTCTGTGAGTAAGTGCTCAGCCTTCAGTAGGATATCTAACTCCTACATCCCCCAAGGCTCAGAAAACAACATGGAGAGGCAAAAAGTGTCGGGGAACCAGGAGTGCTGCAAAATGCTGTCTTCAGAACATGACACGGCCATTACACCCATAAACCCTCGGCAGCTATGAGATTGAGTCAATTCCTGCAAACATTACTAATTAAGCTCAGTGTCCAAAAGGAAGGGGGTGGGGTGGGAGGGAAGTACATGAGTAGTGAGGGAAACATTGGTGGGTGGGAGGAAGGGAGGAGTTGAGGGTTTTCCAGGAGAGTGGAAGGAAGGCATTAGGGGTGCAAATAATCAAGGTATATTGTTACACATATGAAAAGAATAAATAAAAGACAGTCTAATTTTTAAAGGTTTAACAAGTGTTCAATCAGGCCTTTGTCACCCTAACAATTTCTTTTCAGGGGAGAATAGGGTATTCTTCATTGCTGCCAAGTGAATATATTCACATTACAGCCACAGCGCCCTGCAGATGTCTGTTTATCATATGCTGAGCCCTGTTCCTCCAAACAGTTTTCTTCATAGATCGTCATCTATACAGGGGAGCAAGTTACCTAGATATAGGATATCGTCACAGAGACTGCTTCTTCTTAATTTTGTTTTTAGCTGATACATTTAAATATCAAAAAATGGGGATGAGACTATTTCTGACATGTCATACTAAGAAAATATCCAAATGTGAAAGAGGCTACACACTAGAGAAAAACACTCAAAGACAATTACTATTGTTTGTTAATCACAGTTTTTTCTAATGGAGTGCATCCATTTCTAATTATGTTGGCACAGAGGTAGCTGGATGTATTTAAATGGCCTTCATGCTTAGCACAGCTTGTGGTAAATACTATTTGCTTCTGATAATGAACTTGGGGGAAGAAAAGGATGGAAATTCTGGCACTTGTGATTAATCTTACTTTAATTTTTAAAAAAACTACATACAAGCTCAATCATAGAAGAAGGTAGGCCTGAATAGCATCAAACCAAGGAAGGCATATTTCACAAGCAGAAAACATTCAAAGAGAGGCAAAGGAGGCAACGAAGGAAAAAGATAAAAACTACCATCATCTGTAGGCCAAAACGGTTCATTCAAAACAGCTGAAATCTAGGCATATTTTTTCTTGTCAGTTTTCTATAATAATCTCACTGAGAAGACCTTCAAAATTAATTGATGTCTGTAACAAGAATGTGAATAAACATACATCACAGCAAGGAACATTGCATGCTGACGTGAGTCTCCCACGCAGGTGTCCAGGGTCAGAATTAATCTAGCAGATGTACCGGGGCTGAATTTCATGAATTTCAAATAGGTTAGTCAGCTCAGCTCCTGAAAACAACAGATCTGAGGAAGCATGATGACGCTTCTGTCTTTAAAATCCATAGCTTCGTGTAAGGGTGGTGGTACCAGGACCTCTGAGCACATGACTGCAGTGGCATTCCAATCTGAAGGTGAGGATGTGATGAGAAAAGCAAGGGAGCAGGAGAGGCCCCTCGGCTCTGTCCAGATGGCAGGCCCTGCCTGCCACAGCATGCTGCAACCTGCTCCCGCTTTGAAAGGGCAAGGGAGAGCAATGTGCAAATTGCTTCATCGCCCTGCTGTTATTTTGACACAAATCCTCCAGGGCCAAGGCCAGTCCCAGCAAAAAGAACTGATCTCTGAGTCACAAAGGCAAGAGCTTGAGGCTACCTGTTTGGAGGGACAAATGTCGGGATGTGGTAGGATGGCTGAAAGTGGATTAGATGAAACTGAAATTAAGGAATGCAGTAGAGCATGAATGGCTCAACAGCCTCCTCCATAATGGCACTTCATGACACTGTCAAACATCCCTTGATGGCAAGAGCAACCTTTCACCTGTAGGACTCCCTTCTCAGAGGAATGAGAATGGCTCAAAAGAAACGAGCCAAGCATGTAAACTAAAGCACTGAGCAATTCATTTCCTCCTTCAAAAGAGAGAGAGGGGCACTCTACCTGCAGTTTCCTTAGACCATGACAGAAATACTGTGACTACCTTGTTTTTTCAGCTTTCAGGTAACAGAATAACCCCACCAAAGAGATGGCAAAAGAAACAAAGAAAACAAAACCGGAGGCTGAATAACAGTGACTGACATCACAGCAAGTCAGGGCCAGAGCCAAGGCAGCAATTTAGCGTTTCCAATTAACAAGCCCCCACTTACAGTTGAGGCACATTGATTGCCAGGTTGCAAATGTCACTTCCTGTTTTTATCAGTGGAAGCCCAGGAGGAACTAAAGCACACTTACCTTTGACAATCTGCTTCGCACAGGCATTGTAGACCTGCTCTTGGGTTGTGTTGGGCGGCAAAACTCTGTCAAAGACGTACGGCTTCCCTTGCTGAAAGCACATGAAAGGAGAGGGTGGAGAAAGCACATTAGGGGTTTAGGCCTAAAAAGCACTAAAAGCAGTAGTTAGACCACAGGCAGCTCAATCGCCAACCCACTCTTTAAAGCAGGCCCTTCCCTCGCCACGGAACCTTTACAGCATGAGCCATATCGCACCACATGTATGGATGCCGGGTGCCAAGGGCCTGAGTGCACAAATTCTCAAGTAGGGGACACTTTCCTAGATGAAAAGGTAGACATTTCATTCCTTTGAATATATTTATTGAGAATTTACTCTGGACTAGTTGCAGATATGTGAGCTGTTCAATCAAGTGGAGATGATAACTCCACTTGATAACTCCACAGGCAAGAATGTAGACACAGGAAAATACAGCATGGCCAGGTATGGAGTAAGAGATGACAGACCTGGCTAGAAAGGTTTGACCAGGTCAGAGGATCATGAAAAGTTCAGCAAGATGGATGGCAGGAAACTACAGAAGAATGTCCTAGGCATGAGCATTCTGGGATGAGTGGATGGCACAGGATCTGATGTATTCAGGAAATAGTAGGTACCACAAGCTGGGGCTAGCAAGGAAATCAGGAGCCAGCTCATGTAGGGTACTGCAGGCTAAAATAGGTAACCAAATAAAACCTGCCTGTGTTGTACTGGGGCTGGGGAAACGGCATGATCAGATTTAAGAAGCCATTCTCAGTAGATGGCAGCAACCGCGACCATTCCACAGAACTCAGTTTCCTTGCCACAGAGAAGCGATGTCTACACCGAATGGAGATTTTCCAATCAAAGGAGACCTTCTATGCAATTAAACAAGACATTTGGGGGAGGATTGTTGTCTAGGAGTTTGGTTTGCAGCTATATATGTAAAATTCAAAGAAATTGCCATTTCTAGGGAGTGGGAGAGCTGCACCACAGCGCCAAATAGATCCTGCTGCCTGTCACTCACTGTTCAACAAGGATCTATGGACATTACAGTGCTGGGCACAGCACTGAGCATTAAGGGAGAGCGGGTAAGACACGGGTCCAAACCATGGTTTCCTCTGCCAACAGTGCCCAGGCAAATCAGCAACTCTGCTTTCACAGCCTGACCCACAAATCACAAAGAGAAGGACAGAGGACTAGAGAAGGGAAACAAGGGCTAAACACCACACTTCCTACGAGTCAAGGACAGACTGGCTCCTTAAAGAGACAACTGCTCTTCAGAGCTCCAAGAACAAGACTTGGTCCATCCTATAAACTCCATACAAGGAAGCACGAAGCCGTCACCTAGGCTTAATGGTTACTATTCACTGCCACAGGTCCAGGCAACTGGAGGTGAATCCTAGCTTTAGGCCTTATATTTGAGCTTTAGTTATTGAAAACAGAACTGAGCTAGCCAGGTAAACAAGTTATTTCTAATTTGACCTTAGAAAAATGGAGAAATTTTAGAAAACATAAAAAAGAGGGGAGGGGAAGAGGTTTGTTTTATGCACAGAGGCAGAACTACAGTCATTCTGATAAAAATTATGAGACGGGATCATTTTCTTACTTTAAAAAAAATCCACTTTTAAAAAGTAACCTATTTATGTGCATGGCTGTTTGCCTATATGTACATGTGACGGTGCTGATCTCCTGGAACTGGAGTCACATGTGAGCTGCCATGTGGGTGCTGGAAATTGAACCCAAGCCCTTCTGAAAGAGCAGTCAGTGCTCTTAACCACTGAGCCATCTCTCCAGCCCTCCATTTTCTTATTCACAGTTTTGTACTCTTTGGTTAGTAAGCCAAGTATTTATTTGGTTGAATAACAAAAAAAAATATTCCTCACCAAAATGGCTATCTTACTAGCTTTATCCATTTTCACCTTCAACCAAATATCAGGGGTTGGAGAGAGCCATTTGGTTAAGAGTGAGTATCAGTCTTACAGAGCACCCAAACTCAGTTCCCAGCACTCATATCAGGAACTAACAACTGTCTGAAATTCCAACTTCCTGGGATCCAAGACCCTCTTCTGGTCTCTTTAGGCACCAGTACTCACATATACATAGCCACACACACTAACACATAAACACAATTTAAAATGATTAAAAAAAAATTAAAAAATTCAATCAATGCCAGGAGAGTAAAAAATAAAATTAAACATTTACAGAAGACAGAGGATGTATCTGAGTGGCAGAGATCTTGCCTAGCCCCCATGAGGTCCTGGGCTCCATCTCACATACTGAAAAAAACAAACAAACAGGAGAATAAACATTTACACAATTTGCCTAAGTCATCCACTGAGCCCTCTGGAAACTACTGCAGAAACTTAGAGAGAACAACAGTGCAGACTGTGTTGTCCATCGCACACTCCTCTGTTCAGTCTTAGAGAAAGTGTATTAACGCAGCAGGAAAAAAAATGACCTTATCAAATGATGGTGTACACTACAGACAGGTAGGATGCCCCAGGCTTGCCTTCCAGATTAAACACTTGCTGTCACATAGTGCATTTTCCTTTAAGAGAGATAGAAGACAAGAATTCATCATTCCCCTTTAAAAAATATCAATTACAAATTCACCAACAACATGATACTTTTAAATGACCTGAAGTTAAATCCCCCAAAGCAACTGCCTTCAAGAGTTTATGGCTGGGTTGACATTGAGAAAAGATGAAACTCTCAAAATAATGTTACAGGACCCATCTTATCAGAACAAGCACATTAGTTCAAAAGGTAAGCATTTCAGTGTCCTTCATACACATGGCTACTTATACGGGCTTTTGTTTTTAAATGAACCTTAAAGCATTAAGAGAGAGATAAGAACTGTTGTTGAAGACTTTCAGAGAGCCGATTTGTACCAATTGTATATAATTGTCTCTCCTCCTCTTTCTTCTCTTCCCCTCATCCCTCTTCTTCTTCCCCACACCCCTACACACATTTTAATAGTAGGAATATCTCACAAATTCTGGTCAAAACAAGAACAAAGGTTCCTTGCCCAGAACCCCCAAGAAGACCAGAGTCTAATGTTTCTGATGCTGCAATGGCTGAGGAGTCTGCAGGCAAGCAATGGGCCCACCCGCTCCACCATTTGCAACTACAGGACAAAATTCAAATAACATTGCTGTGTAGGTGCTGGACAGTGGCACTTGGCCTGGATGGGGCCACCATTCGCCAGCCTCTGAAGACACTTTTCCTCTCAGCACATGGCCTCTCCAGCCTCTGTGGCCAGTGTCCTCTTCCAGCATCTCTTTCATGTGGAGATGGTCAAGTACTGGCCTAGACCCAAGGTTTTTCATTGTGCTCTTGACTTTTAAGAAATTTAAATGGCTATTTCAGCCTTCATCCAATGTTCAGGGTCAGATGCCTACTAGAATTCTACCTCTGTGGGTGACCCTTAGCCACCCAAACTTAACAAGCCAAAAGAGAACCATCACACGCTCCATATCTGAAGATCCTAGCAATCACCTAGATGCTCACCCGGAGCACGTGTGGTGCAGTGTGAACCAGAGGTTCCCATCAGGGATATAGCCCAACAGTTATCTCAGTTCTCTCTATCAGTCTCCTCCACAGAAATGCCAGAGGCCTCTCGCCAGTCACCCTGCTCTTTTTCCTCCCTAAAAATTCATTTCCATCATTGGCCAGAGTGAATATCCTCAAACTAAGATGACATCACTTCCCCATTTGATGGTCCCTTGTGGCTCCTGTTACACACACACTAGACTCTTTGCCCAGGGCTGCCTACACTCTCCCCTCTTACTGCACTGGGGCCCAGTGAGACCTTCTGCCCCTTGTTCATTCCTTTCTCAATGCCTTAGTTATTAAGCTCCCATCCCCTCAGTTCCCCTTAAGTTCAAACCTGCATTTAGCTACGCCTTATGAACCATTGTCTTAATCTGCTTTTATGTTGCTATAATAAAACTTCATTCTTAAAAGCAACTTGGGGAGGAAAAGGTTCATTACATCTTCTAGGTTAGAGTTCATCACCAAGAGGAGCTAGGTCAGGAGCTTAAGGCAGGAACTGATGCAGAGGCCATGGGGGAACACTGCTCACTGGCTTACTGCCTGTGGCTTGCTCAGCCTGCTTTCCTATATGGCCCAAAGACCACCTGCCCAGGGATAGCACTGTCCACAGTAGTTTGGACCCTCCCACAACAATCATCAATCAAGAAAACATTCCCAAAGACACGTTCACAGACCATTCTGATGGAAGCAGATTCTCAGATAAGATCCCTTCATCTCAGGAGACTCTAGTTTGAGACAAAACCAATCAGCACATTCTTCATATCTCATATTCTTCATCCTTCACGGCTTCTATGATTCTAACTAAAGCCACCCCACCCCACACTATAACCTGGAGATTTGGTTTGCTTCACAATAATGAGTATAGCACCTATTTCCAACCAATCAAATGGTCCGTTGCAATGAAAGTATTTATCCAGCTAGACTAGAAGTTGTAAATTCTGAGCAGGTTGACAAAGCCACTGAACCTCATAGAAGGAATCTGGACGGCGCACTCCATCCTCATTACTACCGTTATGAAGCTTGCCAGCACTGTCATGCAGCCTCTATGCACAGTGGCGCAATTGCATGGGAGAAGAATACTAAAATTAATGACCTACCAGGATCACATACAAAAAATAATAGCAGATGGTCCTTACACTTCTCTCGTTAAAATTAAAAACAAAAACCATGCCACCAGAATTCCTAACAAGTTGTTGAGAGCAAAATGTCTGTGAACCATATGGCCTGCCTATTAATACATCTGACCTGTCACCCAGCAACTGTTCTCCTGCCTGCAAGGAACTCAACTGCGAAAGACAAAGGAAAGAAGAATTATCCAGGCATGTCCAGAGGATGAGGACCAAGAGCGACACTGAGAAATGAAGAACATAAAATTAATTGTTCTTACAGATTATTAAGAAGTAACCCCAAAACAATCTTAAAGACTGACCAAGAGTTGTGAGCAAAAGCAGCCATAATTTGAATGGTTTTGTTATTACTACTGTCTTCATTAAGAGGAACAGAAGGAGGATAGAAACTAA